ATAGGAATATATAATTTTATCACAAAGGGAATTTTAAACTACATGAGCCAGAAGTTGCATGTAAAGAATGCCATAGCATTAACTTTCTAGGGAATTTAAAATACTTGAGTCACCTTTATATATACATATTATGTGCACACACTCATACACAAAGAATATTTGAAGATTACATAGCAAGAAAGTATAAGAATCAGGATTTGAGTCCAGTGTTTTTTAAATCCTAAAATTTCTAAAATAGGATTAGTTGTAAATGTACGCAAACATTTAAAAAGTAATGTATATCTTTTGAGTATTTCTTGAAAGTAGCTCAATTTCATCTCAACTGATTTTCTATCCAAAGGAAGTTTATAGAAAAAAATAAAACACAGAAATATACTGAATGGATACAGATTTCCAAGAGCTAAAAATAAAAGTAACCTTGGAAGTCTTTCACTTCAGGTTTCATGTTTTATAGAATAAGTGAAACAAAAAGTCCTAGTTTCACCTTAGTTCTAAGTGCAGGACCTGAAACCCTTGACTCTTAGAGCACTTTCTTGAGTTTAATTTAGAATATGACATTAATGTCACAACTTGTATATCAAGGCCATATAATTTTCATATATATGAAATTACATATTGGGGGAAATGAAAAAAATAATGACGCCTTTTAAACCTTTCTTAGTTGAAGTGTATTTACTTCATTTTAACATTATCTGATCTTATTTAAAATGATTTTAATAAATGGCAAGATGCAGCAAAAACATTTTTCAGAATTAATGTAGAACTGCAGTGTATTTAAACGAGGGTATTTTACAATTCTTGTCACCAAAGGGTTTTAGAGTATAAATTCACAGTTTTTATAGTAATTCATTTGTATACAAACCAAAGCTAATGACTAGAATTTGGATAGTAAAAAAAAAAAAAAAAGTTGAATTACACAATTGAGTTAGAAATGGCCACTTAGGCTTTTTAGTCTGTCTCCCTGAAAGCAGGAGAACCAATTTAATCAAACAGTGTGAAGAAAGTGACAGATGAAAAGCACATCAATCCCAGTAGGTCTGGCAAGACTTGAAAGACAAAATCTATCACAATGAATTAAAAGCACAATGTGAAAGGGAAACAGACAGAAAGACTTGATTTACATGCTCGCTCTATCAGAGCAAGGATAAAGATTGCAGAAGTCATCTGCTGGAAGCAAACTCTAGCTGTTGAGAAAGAGCAGCAGTTCACTGCAGTCCCACAAGACAAAGCAGTAGAAACTATGTCTGACTTTCAGTCATTAATTAAATCACTCAGAGTTTAGGAGAACTTGTGAAGTATTTAACAAAGGAAAAGTTTAGCTACACCATTGTATACCCACAAAGCTTACACTGTGTACTTTGCTGCCTGGCTATAGGATTTTAAAATTGATCGTTTTGCAGATTCTGTATAAATTTTAATTTTCCATGAAAAATTTATCACTGAAGTGCACAGATTAAAGATATTAAATGATTGTGTTTGACTTATAGCTTCTTAGCTCTACGTTTAATCTTTGACATATCAGTAAATGATCATTCATTACATATCTTAGATAACTATCATACTAAGAAATGTGCAGAAAATGGTGTACATCAATTCTTTACATTTCCTATCAACTAAAATGAAGCAAGCAAGCAAACAAAAACAAACAAAAATAAACTTTAGGCATATACAAAAGGCAGTATTGTTTTATACCTTCTGAACTTTTCCATTTTAAAATACCTATGGTACCATCATTGTAAACAAATAAACATACCAATGATATTCAAAATATTTCTGTGCTTTTTCTCTGTGAGAACTTGTATTCTTTTCATGACTACCTTCTCAAATATTTAATTGCTGCCATACCATTTTCATTTAGTAAAGTATAGAATCAACAGTGTACAGAGCTCTAGAACTAATTCATTTTTACTACTCCAAATTTATACACACTGAAAAATAACTTTACAGCCCTTTCCCTTCCCCCCTGGACACCACCATTCTATTCTTTGCTGCTATGAACTTAACTATTTAAGATACTTCATAAAAATAGAATCATGAAGAATTTCTTTCAGTGATATTTATTTAACATTCTGTATTATTCTATCCATGTTGTTCCAAGTAGTAGCATCAGTATGAAATATTCAATTGTATAAATATTGTTTCTGTTTTTCCTTCATATGTCAGAGAACACCAAGATAGTATCCAATACCTTGGCTGCTGTGAATAGCGTGTCAATGACACAGAAGTGCTTGCTGATATATTTTCAAAATTCTGACAATTTTTTTTAGGTATCTCCACATGACTGGAACTGCTGGATCTGAAGGTAGTCTTGTGTGAAGCAATCTGTGGAAACTACTACATCCCATAGTAGCTCTAACATTATATATTCCTACCAACAAGATACAGGGTTTAAATTTCTTCTCATCTCACCAATAATATCATTTTTCTGATAGTAGTCATTCTAACTGATTATCATATGATATCAAATTAAGGAATGTCATAAAATGAGAAAACCAGCCCCACCCCAAAGTCTCCCTTCCACACCATGCCTACAAAGCAGCAATTAAGTTTACAGTACTGGAAAGTGATGATTCTAAGGAAGTACATGCATTTCTCTGAGCTCCTGCCACAAACTTACTCCCATAAATCACCCTGACACCTTCAATATGTGTCATTAACATTATCAACCCTGCCTTCTGAATTGCATCAACAGAGATCACATGGTCTATTTCATACCGGCATTGATAACATTATGGGAAACAATTTTTAATTAACTTTCATTACTTCAAATAACAGGAATTGATGGACATTTAAAACATCTAATTATATTAAACCTTAATCATAGGTGCACAAAATTTAATCACAAATGAAGACTACACTATATACTCAAAGGTGTTGAAGTTATTGTTTTTGTTTTAATTATGTGCTCCCTTGAAATATTGTGGGTTTCAGATTCATATGATATGTCTAAGATAATAGTGATTGATATCACTATTGTAAAACTTAACCGACTTTTAAAATTTCTATGTGTGATTGTGGATTCTCTTAAAGAATGGTGCCAAAGAGATGCTTGCCAAAGTTGAACTCAGAGTAGAGTAGAGATTGAGGGGAGGTAAAGTTGTGAGCTATTCAGTAAGTAAATGGATCTGGTCAGTGATGGGCTGAAAAAAAAAAATAAATAAAAGAGGCTGAGGAGTTTGGGATATTCAGGTCTTAGAAACACATCGGGACTCAGATAGGGGCAACTAGATAATTAGCACTTGTAGCTTTATGTAGGGTTTGGAAGACTCACTTCTGCACTACCATCTTAAGACAATAGCTCACATCCAAGGCAAGCTGGGAACACGTAGTAGCCTGATCTGTACCCATGATTTGAGGTAGTCTTGGAGTAACTCAAAGATCACATCAACACATTCCACTACCTATACAGGAAGCCTGTACTATATATGCAGCCAATGTGTCCCCTCCTGTTTCCATAAAATTGATTACCCTTTATCTCTTCAGGATCCTGTTCCTCTTGACACTGTAACATAATCAATTATGGGTATTTATTACTGCTGATAAATATCAGGATGGCTGCTTACTGAGCAAGAGTCTTGCCTTATAAACCTGCTACATGACTCATCCCTCAGCATGTCACTGGTGAGGTCCTGAAGTTTCCAACACAACAAGAACTAGCAGCTGAAAGTAATGAGCTCAATTTTATACACCTCAGATATATTGAATACATAAATGGCAATAGTTTGGCAGTTACAGAAGTAAATTTAAATGAATCTGGAAAGTATAACCTTATGAGTAAGCTAATATATGTATTATAGGATATTTTAACGAAAACAAAAGCAATCCCACTTTGCGGGCAAACTTTCTACCACAGAATATGTGAGAATGAACAATTGTCTTAAGGAGGTGCCCATAATTTATGAGCTAGAGAAGGAATGTGGGTTTAATTTAAACCCACCTCCAAATGTGTGGTAAAGATATATCTACAGAATAGAACTCTGGCAGAATGATATGTCAGCTTGTAAAGAGAAATAAAAAATAGCAAAAGGGAAAAAGAAAAAAATAGCATAAACCTAGGTTTATGGGCAGAAGGGAGGCAGACAAGGATAGCCATCTTTAAAAGAACACAGAACAAACTATATTTTAGTGATGGAATAATGAATTTTAAGATTTTGAGAATTTTATTAATTTTTATGTCTGTTTTTTCATGGACTATACATTTCCTTTCATAATTACCATTAAAACTCAGTATTTGTGGGAAGACTCAATGCTTTACTAGAAAGGCTTATCTCAGGAGATTTTTAGCTCCAGAGAGCATTTTAAGGAGAGAAAGAGCTTAAAGAGTAAACAAATACTAGAAAAATTGCTATTTTAAAAGTAGTTTCTCTGTTTTTACTCCTTTAAGCTCCAGGATGAAATAGGGACCATAAAGTATAAAATGAATGATATGTTCTTCTTTCCACAATCTACTTTCACACCCATTTTTCTTTGGTGTGAGATTATTTTTATTCCTCTAACACAGAGCTGATTAGGTGTGAATTTCAGCCTGATAGTGATGTAGTCACCTTTCTTAAGGGTCTCTATGTGGCAATAGAATGTATTTGTTTTGGCCTCAGGGTTTTCTAAGTGTTATGAAGGCTTGTGAAAACAGGTTTCCTACAATCTGACTTTTTTTTTTTTTATTGGTTCCCTCAGCCAGTTGGTATCCTAACAAACTTGAAAATACCATCAGAGTTATTTTGTATGGTTTCCCTGCCTCAGTGGTAACAAAGAGGAATGAGGGAAGGGAAAGAAGGCGGATTAAAACACAAACAAACAAACAACAACAACAACAAAAAATTAGAGACAATATTAACTATTTTTTCCTATTTCAAAGTACATACACATTGAATGCCCTTAAAAAAGACATGTATAAGACATACACTCACACACACACACATATGTACATGTGTACCTGCAGTAGAGAAGTAAATGTTCATTTTTCATTGCTGTATAATAAATCACCAAATATTATCGCCTACCTGGTTCCTGTGGTGTCAAGAGGGTTGTGTTCTCTTCAGGCGGTTGGAAGAACCCTTCATTGGAATATATTCAGGTGTGTGACCAACTTCATTTCTTGTAGTTATATGAAGAAAGGCTCTGGCTTTCTGTAGATGTTAAGAGAGGCTGCCTTCAGATTCCAGGAGCTACTGAGAGCTTTTAGAGCCCACCCTAACTTCCTAGCCCAGCCAGTGACACCAACATGGCTGCCTCAATCATCCAGTCAATGAGCAAGTCCTGTAACATCCTGCCCTTTTATAGAGGCTTACATCTCATTAAGTCAAATCCATCTGCTTTTTTGATTAACTCAGATCAGCTGTATCAGGACTGAAACATTCCTCTTATTTTATCTTCATTCCTCACCAGCCTGATTTTAGACTTACTTATAAAACTGTCTACTGCCCCACAGCTTACATTATCTACCCATATTTAATTTTGAACTGAACATGTTAAAGTAGTGATGATTTAAAACCAGATAGATAGATTTTAAAAAGTAGTAGGTTAGAATAAATCAATCAAAATAGTTTTTGTTCAAGAGACTCTTAAAATAGGATTCTTACAGTAAACTTGAAGTCAAGCTTTACCAAACTGAATTTATTTTTTCTACTTTGAAATTGGATTCCCCTATTTGCAATTCCTCTATTGGTTAAGGTACTAATATCCTCCAAGAATTATTACTTTATATTTAACAGACCATTGTGTGGTTATATCTTCAACTTTCTTTTACATAAACCATTCTGAAATATTAGCTTGTGAGGACTGATGTCAAAGTTTGCTGGAACTTTCCCCAGAGTTTCTGATTCAGCAGGTTTGGAGTAGAGCCTAATAATTTTCATCTTATTAAGTATCCAATGATGCTGCTACAATGCTCCTGTTGCTGGTTCTGGAACCAGTACTGAAGGGTATCACCCAGATACAACTGATGCATTGAATTGGGTAACCTGGTCAAGATGAGGCCAGTTAATTAGTCCTCAATGTTTCTGTGATACAGTGTGCCTTTCCATCAGTATCTATCCCCAGTAACCAGTGAGAAACTCTTTTGGAAGACGTAGATGTTTGAGGTAAAGATAAAGCCTCAACAGAGAGCTGTCAGTGAAACAAGAGGATAAAGTTTGTGAGGCTTAGGAATTATCAACAGGAGAATCTCTGAAAAAACAAGCCAATGGAAAATCTAGTGAATTGTGTGGAACTTACTTTGAATCAAGTAGATTCCTCATGTCAATGCCACATTGAGACTATAGATGAAAAATATACAGCCTGACTTGACTCCTTATTGGTGACTAACAATGATCACAAAATCACTGATTCATTCTTACTGAGGACTAAGAACAGAAACTCCTCATCTTACCAGGTGATTGTGGGGAAAAAAAGAGATTTGCTGATCATTACATCTGCTGATCATTACAAAATAGCCAACACTGCCGTTTTCTGTCTACAGATTTTTCTCAACCAATCCCAAAGATTCAAAATGATTGCCCTAAGATCACATCACTCTGTTGCTTGACCCTTAAAAGCTTCCCTATGTCCTGAGGTCAGACGACATATCTCAGGACTGCCCCTAGAGTGTGGACCTGAATATGATTCCTATTCTAGATTAATACAGCCTGATTGTTTCAATTGATTAGTAATAGCAGCAGTAGGACAGCCATTGAGAGAAAAGCTATCAGAATACTAAGTCACATTTTAGAAAATCTTTTCTGTGTTTAGGTTAAATGGGAGAGAAAGACAGTTAATATGACTGTCTGAAAGCTGGAGTCTGAAAGCTGCTTCTCTGTTACATTCCACCCTTCACAGAGTTCAGCATTGTCAACATACAGGTGTTTTCAATGAAGGTGTTTGCCTCAAGCTTTTTTTTTTTTTATTCAGATTCCTCCAAATTCTGTTCACTCTATAAAGATTCTTGTTATAGTTGTGATATAAATTTTAGTGCAAAAGCTTAATCTTAAAACAAATATCTGGATATATCAATAATTCTTTTTCTTATTATAGCATTTTCTAATTGACATCTTAAGACAAATTCCCAGACTAACTTCTCCTTAAAGTAACCTAGGAAATCTAACACACACTATTCCAGTCTCCCTCACCCAGCCCTAACAGGCTATATCTATCATTCTGTGGACTCTCCTGACACACTCTAATGTTCTGTAACAGACTGACCTGACACTGGCAGATAATAAGCAGATGAGAGCAGGCAGGAAAGCCAGGAGTCTGGGGACCACAGACCCCTTGCTAACACCTGTTTTAAACCCCATAAGTAGTAATTAGAGCAATGATAGGGCCAGAAATTTAAAAAGTAGAAATTTGCAAAAAATGTATAAAAGTCTAAAGTCAAGCAGAATTAAAGGTCTAAGATGTTCTCCATAGAAGGAACAGCAAATGACCTACAGGATGAACTCTACCAGGGGTTAGTGTTGCTAGAACAGCAGAAGAAATAATAAGTGGTAAGAAAGGGGTCAGGGAGGAAAAGTATAATGGAGACGTAATGATGGTCAAGGCAGGTGGGTATTAAGAAAGGTGGCTTTTACTCTGAATACTAGGAAGGGAGACAGCATTGATTTTTTTTTAGCAGAATCACACCATCTGCTTTCTTTTTAAAAGTGTTCTTTCCATCAGAATGCAAAAAGGACTGAGAAGAGAGGCTAAGAATGAGCACCTGCTTTTCTTTTTCCAGTAAAGGGACTGTCTAGATGGTTGTTTGGAAGCCTGTCATCTAGGCATAGGGCCTTGCAATTATGACTGTTTGCCAGGATCATTAACTAATTACAACTGGACATTTCTGTTACTGGGATTGGCTGCCTAGTAGATTAGTGTTAAATGTAGATCAGCAACCTCCTTTCTGAAGGAGCCATACATTACACACGGCCAAAACTATCAGCACCTTTTGGATGGAGTTCCCACCTCTGGTTACACTCCCTCAATTCAATGCTGTGAGTGGTCAGTGCATTCAGGACCCTGAATGTCGTGCCTTTTGATTCTCTCAGCTCTGCTTGCTCACACTTGCATTTCCGTGCCTCTATTGCTGGTCCTTCAGTATATTGCCATGTTTAACTTCTATCAAATCAGTTTAACACAGATTAAAAAACTCATTTCTGATGTTTTCTGGAAACTGTCTGAAACTCCTTCCACTGCTCATTTTATAAGCCTTTATCACATTTAAGCTTCTTTGTTTGACATAACAATGCATTCCTTGAAAGCAGAGATAAGGGCTTATGCAAATTTCATACACGCCACCCCCACCCCTCCCCCTGGCTAAAAAACAGGGTAAGTCAGGTTGTAACATTTGCATAATATGGGTGGTAAATAAATGTTTAGAGCAACTGAGTGAATACCACTTGTTCTTTCATGTTGATTTGTTCCTGACTTGCTATTGAGCACCTTCTGCCTATGCTTGTCCAGTCTTGAAAAGGTATATAGAGAAATCCTATGTGTCACTATGTGCATTAATAAATACAGAGGGAGTTCTCATGAGTTTTCATGTGTCTCTTCCCAATACTTGTTCTTTGTACTCTAAATGTAACTTGAATTATTTATATTAAAGACACTGGTGATCTTACTAGAATTTCTACATTTCTCTGGAAATAATTAATTTGGTAATCCAGAAACTGTAACATGAAAAAAAAAGTGATATAAATGCATTACTCTTTATTTTTTTATTAAAACGTGGTAGTGGATGTGAACATGGATAAGAGAAATTAATATTAAAACTTGCACTTCAAAAAAAATGACCAATTTTGACTGTAGTTTGAGACTACGCAGAAAGCAATACTAATGTAATTCATCTGTAGGGTCAACCCATATAAAAAAAAATGTTAAATTGTGTCAAAATATTCTGAATAATAAAGGAGGGGCTTGTCAGCAAAACATTAGAAAGACTGACAATAAAATATAGTGTTATTTCTGCCAGCAAAGTGACATGTCTTAGAAAAACAACCATGAATATTGATATTTTACTAATGTATTCTGGCTTTGACATTGTGTCCTAAAGAACTAAACA